GGGGGCACTTGTTCAGACCCTTTGTCCTTGATGGGGAGCTTCAGGACTGTGTTGGCTGGACTTCCCAGCTCCCACCCAAATCTCCTCGTCCGGGGCTGCATCAGGGACCTCATCTTTGCTGACAGCCCTCTCCTTACTTCCCCAAAAGACAGCAAGGGGCTGGTTGCAGTTCAGTGCCTGTCAACCCATTCGGTGGGAAGGAAACATTAAACACTCAAAACACTGCTTATTGGAGCTGGGTAAACTCAGCACACCACAGTTTACTTTGCTGTCAGAAATCCCTTGGCTTACCACAGAGCAGAGCCCTGAGGACCAGGACCCCCTCCATGCCTCCTTCCCCACCCACCGGAGGAGACTCGCCTCTCTCCTTTCAGCCCGCCAGCCTGTGTCCTCCCTTCGGAGTTTCTGCCCCCACCCTATCTCTTGTCTCTCCCAGCTCTCCTCCTCCTGTCTCTTTCCATCCAACTCTGGATCCTTCCTGAACACCCCTCCAGATCTGGTGTCTTTCAGCAGCCAAAGGCCAAGGGAGCTCAGCCCTCAGAGTGGAGAGATGAGGCCAGGGGAGGTGAGGCCCAGGCATTTTTTTCAGGGGCAGACAGAAATCAGGATTCACTCCCTTTTCTTCCTCACTCCACACAGCCCCGGGCTTCGACCCCTCGGTTCAGGGAGGGCAGGTGCTGAGGCAGAGGGGCAGCCCTGACGGCAGGGGTTGGAGGAACGCGCAGGCCCATGAGAGGCGTTTGGACGAGAGCTGGAAGCGGCTGCGCCCCTGCGTAGGTGCCTTGGGGAGTTTCGAGTTAGGAATGAGGGTGTCACCGATTTTGGACCGAGCTTTGCGTTAACTCAAATGTTCCTCGCCGTGACAGCTCCCACCTCCCTGTGGGCCTCCCCTCACCCCCACCTCTCCTAAGACGTTTGCAGCCGAGCCAAGGTTTTCTCTTGGGCTCCACTTGGAAGTGCAAACCTTGTGGGCTTGAGATGAAACATATGCTGCTCTGGAATGTGGCTATTAGCCAAGGGAATGCTCAGAGGCCCCTGCAGAATTTGCAGCCATCTGCCTGGGGTTCAGTGGGGGTGTGTAACAGACCATTTGGGGCCAGGAAGGAGCAATGGCGGCCGAGGGCACCTTCCTTCTCTCCACCCCACTTAGGACCAGTGCTTCTTTCAACACCCGAGTAGATCTCAATGTCCTGTACTTCCTCCCCTGGGGAGACCCAAAGCCAGGCTCAACCTCAGATGCCACGGGCCCCAGGCTGCGGGCTCCCCAGTGAACAGGTGCTGATTAGTCTGGCATTTTGCATATTCTTTGAATCTAATTCATTTCCTGCCAAAAGGCACAAACAATTGCCCCGCCATGCTCTCCCGGGACCCGCGTCTTCTGCTCGCCTCTCTGACTCCACGTGACTCTCCCCCCTTGCCTTCTCCTATAGCTTCCTCTGTCCTCACAGGCCCCAGTGGCCCAGCTGGAACCCCCTTCCCCACCGTGGGATGAGTCCTTGCCGCCCAGCGTGCCCTCCCTGCTGTGGTCAGAGAGCAAGGGCTCAGGCTCTGTCCTCAGCTTCCCCAAAGCACAGAAATAAATTTGCTTCTTGAAATGAGGATTCCTGACCCCACCCTGCAGGGCGCCCTGCCTACAGATGGCTGCAGGGCCAGGCTGGAAAGCTTCTGGCCGGGGCCAGTCCCCAGGGGTGGGGGTCTTGTCACGGGAGAGAGGCAGCTGGCGGAGACCCCACCAAAGTCGTGGGTCAAAGGGCTCTGTTCTGTGCATTTCTGGGAAATTGCTGGGGGGAAGGGCTGGCAAGGAGATGGGTTTGGGGAATTCTAAGGGGTTAGAAGGGACCTTATAGATTATGTAACTCAACAGTGTTCATTTATTATTATCACT